GTATCTTTTTGCTACAGGAAATGAAAAGTCATACATACCACACATATTCGTGCACACACACAGAAATTCACCCATAGCTCCATCACCTATCAGTATGAGAGAACTACTATTAATCTTTTCGTGTAGAATCTTTTAGTTTTTTTGTTTTTAATGAGACCATGCTAAATATGCTTCCTTTTACGTATTCTTTATTTTTTTATTTATTTTTTTTAAAAGATGACCGGTAAGGGGATCTTAACCCTCGACTTGGTGTTGTCAGCACCACGCTCACCCAGTGAGCGAACCGGCCATCCCTATATGGGATCCGAACCCGTGGCCTTGGTGTTATCAGCACCGCACTCTACCGAGTGAGCCACAGGCCGGCCCCACATGCCACCTCTGATTCCCCAACCATTTCTGTTCAAAATCCATATCTGACCAACCACTTCTTAGACTTCCCCTCCTACCCTCTGAGCCACCATTATCTTCCTTCTGATCTCTCTTTGCTTCTGCCTTTGTGTCCCTTCAGTCCCTTTGTGCTGTTAAATACATCAGCCGGAGTCACCCTGTTAAATTAAGTCAGGCTATAATACCTACTTGCTCAAAATCTTCCCATGGTTTCCCATCTTAGAATCCTTAACATGGCTTACACTTGCCTATCCCCCAGTCCATGATGACCTCTTTTACCAGCCCAACCACATTGCCCTCCCTTATTCTTCCAATATACCTGGCACAGTTCCTCCACAGAACACTTGCATTCACTTTTCCTTTTTTCTAGAGTGCTCTTTCCTCAGATACCTGTGTGACTTTCTCCCTCTTCTTTTTTAGGTCTTTATTTAAACATTCCCTTCAAAATGAGGCCTTCCCTAGTTATATAAAATTATGGGTGAGCCACCACCACCACGCGAACTCCCTTCCTAACTTCCTTTCCTGCCCTATTTTTCTCCTTAGCATGAATCACCATGTGCAAAGTGAGGTTATTTTGTCCTCCATACACCCACCCCAGAACATAAGCTCCACGGAGGGAAGGGACTTGTCTCATTCGTTCTGTGTCCCCAGCCCATAGACTAATGCTCAGCACATAGTAGGTGCTCCACATATATTTGTTGAATAAGTGAGTGACTTGCCTTGTGGCCATCACCTCTGAGTGCGTTACCCTTTGCCCCCAGATCCTGTACAACCGCACCATGGTGCAGCTGGGCATCTGTGCCTTCCGCCAAGGCCTGACCAAGGATGCACACAACGCACTGCTGGACATCCAGTCGAGTGGCCGGGCCAAGGAGCTTCTGGGCCAGGGTCTGCTGCTCCGCAGCCTGCAGGAGCGCAACCAGGAGCAGGAGAAGGTGGAGCGGCGCCGGCAGGTACCCTTCCACCTGCACATCAACCTGGAGCTGCTGGAGTGTGTCTATCTAGTGTCTGCCATGCTCCTGGAGATCCCCTACATGGCTGCCCATGAGAGTGATGCCCGCCGGCGCATGATCAGCAAGCAGTTCCACCACCAGCTGCGGGTGGGCGAGCGACAGCCCTTGCTGGGTGAGTGTGGGGCTCTGTAGTGCAGCAAATATCCTTCTCTCCTTAATTTAGGCTAATTAAGATTAAGGATTAAGAGAAGTTAAAAGTAATATCTCTCCCACCAGGTAATTCCATTTGATTTAATGACACCTTCTCTGGCACTGTTCTAAATGTTTTACAAATAATAGTTCATTTAATCTACATTAAAAATAATCCTGTGATGTAAGTACAATTATTACTTACCTCCTTTTTCCTAATGAAGAAACTGAGGCACAGAGAAGTTAAGTGACTTGCCCAACTTTAACACAGCTAATATGTGCCTCTAACCTTTTTTTTCCTGTTTCTCCTCTTCATTCATATTATAGTCAAGCCAAACCAGTTATAATAGAACCTTATCATTCAAGAACCTGACAGTGGTTCCTTTGATTGCTTTTGGAAGGCCTGATCATGCAGGAGTTGAGTAAATTGTGATTCAGGTATTTGAATTGTGCCTGTCCAGTGAGGCTGGTGCATAGAAGAACTTGACAATCTTACTGTACACAGCCACATCCCCTTACAGATTTGTCCTCCACTGCTTGTGTTTATGGTTATGTTAAAGTGCAGGTACCCCTTAGACAAATTGTGTTTGGCTTACATAGTGATGTTTTATTTTGTGGGACAATTTCTGATGAAAATCTGAATTTCCACGACTTAGAGTTTTGGTGGATCTGGCAAACCCGGGCCTGCCTTCCCACAGAGCTAGCCTTGGCTAGAGCTGAAGTAGCAGCTGTGGGGAAAGGCTCTCTGTTCACCAGTCTTTGCCTCTCTTGGTTACTCCCTGCAATGGGGCCAAATGCCCATTTCTATTCAGCCTTGCACTGAATTGTTTGTAGAGAAATATTCTTTGAGCCTTAACTTTGCCTCTTTCAAAAGTGTTAAAAGCGGGCCGGCCCGGTGGCGCACTGCTACAGTGCGCCGCTTGGGAAGTGCGGCAGCGCTCCCGCCGAGGGTTCGGATCCCACATGCGGACCGGCCGCTCACTGGCTGAGCGAGGAGCGGGGGCAACACCGAGGGTTGCGATCCCGTTGCTGGTCCCGGTCCGGTACGGGTGCAACACTGAGGGTTGCGATCCGTTGCCGGTCACGAAAAAAGACAAAAAAAAGACAAAAAAAAAAAAAAAAGTGTTAAAAGGGAGGCTAATCCAAAAGGATTGTGCACTTTTCCTTACACTTAGCCCTGTTCACACATTTCTACCTGCGCTTGATCTATGCACTCATTTGAGCTTGCTGTGCCTGTTCTAGGGTCGGCCATGTTCATGTTTCTCTACATCTGCCACCCATATCTAGTCTCAGAACTTTTGCACTCTGTCTACCCTGAATTCCAGTTACTCTTGTTTGCCACGTCTTAGCTTCCAGTTTGTCTCTGTGATGGTATTTGGGGGCCTACGTCCATAATCAGCACATCAAACCTATGATTTCGCAAGGATAATTTAGACCGAAGCTAAATTTTTAAAGGAGAAGAAGTGAGCCACTTTGAAGAATAATAAGCTGATAGCAGTCTAACTGATGTGTGGATATGGCAAAGATCATGAAGGTGATATAAGAATGAGTGAAATTTAGTAAATACCATTCCAGTTGAGATGTTAGACTTTTTTTTTTTAGGTCCAAGAACCTATGAGAACCTGATGAAAGCCTGGGCACACAACAGTTTGTCAACATTTTCAAGGGTTCGCCAATTGCCTGAAGCACATGTATGGACTGATTTAGTCCAAACCTAAATAAATTTATTCAGGTATTAAGTGACTTAATATTAGGCTGCGAGAGTCTCTAGTCTGGTTGTTTGCTCTTCTGGCCTCTGTTCCTCCTTGAACAGTGCTAATGGGCACAGTTACCCCTGGTCCCAGGTTTCCCTAGGCCTTGCCTCATTCCCGATCTTTCAGGTCCTCCTGAATCAATGAGGGAACATGTGGTCGCTGCCTCTAAGGCCATGAAGATGGGTGACTGGAAGACCTGCCACAGTTTTATCATCAATGAGAAGATGAATGGGAAAGTGTGGGACCTCTTCCCGGAGGCTGACAAAGTTCGCAGCATGCTGGTTAGGTGAGCAGAGAGGGAGGCCATGGTGGGTGGGGGAAAAAAAGACTGGTTGGTCTCCTTCCCTGAGTACCTCCCTCTTTTCTCCTTTTCTCCCCTCTCTCGCCAGGAAGATCCAGGAAGAGTCTCTGAGGACCTACCTCTTCACCTATAGCAGTGTCTATGACTCCATCAGGTAGATTGGGCCTGGGGATGCAGAGGGGCCCAACTTGGCAGTCAGGGGCTCTAACCGCCCCCGTTCTCTGCCTTCTTCCCAGCATGGAGACACTATCTGACATGTTTGAGCTGGATCTGCCCACTGTGCACTCTATCATCAGCAAGATGATCATTAATGAGGAGTTGATGGTGAGGGCCAGGGGTGGTCAATGGGCAGGGGAGTCATGGAGAGATTAGGATGGGGGGTCCAATCTGTGTCATGCCCCTTCCTCTGCCTCCTCCTGTCAGGCCTCCCTGGACCAACCAACACAGACAGTGGTGATGCACCGCACTGAGCCCACTGCCCAGCAGAACCTGGCTCTGCAGCTGGCCGAGAAGCTGGGCAGCCTGGTGGAGAATAACGAGCGGGTGTTTGACCACAAGCAGGGCACCTATGGTGGCTACTTCCGAGGTGAGTGGTTCTATCTCCTCTACTTTCCCAGGGTCCTGGCCCCTTGCTGCCTCTCCCCTGGCACTCACCTCCTTCCTTTCTTTCCTGTCTCTCTCCTGCAGACCAGAAGGACGGCTACCGCAAAAACGAAGGCTACATGCGCCGGGGTGGCTACCGCCAGCAGCAGTCTCAGACAGCCTACTGAGCTCTCCACTTCTGTCCCCGTGGCCTAGACCATTCAACCTTTAAGTCCTAAACCACACCGTAGTCATTAAAGGTCTATTTAGAGTTGTTATAGTCCCTAATTGTCTGCATGTCGCCACAGAAGTGTCTTGGACCCATTCATTTGCCAGTTATATTTCTGCCCTTCTACCTCATGACAGTCACAAGGCTCGAAAGGCAGAGATGAATCGGACACATCCCTAACTTCAAAGAGCTTGTTGCTCTTTGACATTTAACAGAAAAATGTAATAACGTGTTAAGTTACAACAGAGGTGTGAAAAAGGGTGGTAAGTACACTGAACGGGATGTGACTGTGGGCCGCAATGTCAGGGAAGGCATAAGGGAGGCAGTAGTGATAGTTGGACCTTGAGGGTTGGGTGGGTGGTGGCTCACCAGGTAGGGAGAAGGGAGTTTTAGTCTAGACCAGTGTGGAGTGTGGTCCGTGGACCAGCGTGGATTCTCTGACCTGTCCACGACAAGACAGTTACCACAATGAACTGTAAGCATGAGAAACTTTGCCATTGCTGTGACATTTAAGCATGTGATTGTTTTTCTAGTAATTTGTATAATTTGTGTTTATTAAATTTTACAAATGTATCGGCCTGCAGTAGATTGTAAATTTTAAAAATATATATCCTGGGCCGGCCGGTGGCTCACTCGGTAGAGTGCGGTGCTGATAACACCAAGGCCACGGGTTCGGATCCTATATAGGGATGGCCGGTTTGCTCACTGGCTGAGCGTGGTGCTGACAACACCAAGCCAAGGGTTGAGATCCCCTTACCGGTCATCTTTTTAAAAAAAAAATATATATATATATATATATATATATATATATATATCCTTTACCATATTTGAGAAGCATTGATGTAGGCAAAGGAAAAAAAAGCAAGTGCATAGGATTAGAGGAGTAAAGGAGTAGTGTGCTTGGTGTAAAGTGTGTGTGGGGTATGTGCAGGAGACAGACTAGAGACTTCAGCTGGGGCCATCTCAGGAAGGCGTTAAATGCTTTGGACTTTTGTATACAAAATAACATGAATGGATCCAGTTTTGAGAAGGATAATGAAGGAGCATGGTAGAGTATGAAATTGGAGGCAGGGAGTCAAAATAGAAAGCAAAAAGTATCTAAAGCCAGGGGAGTTAGAATGTGGATGGGTGGAGAGGAATTGAAGAGGTACTTACATAACAAGCTATGGGGCTTCTATCACCAGTTAGATCTTGGAGTGGAAGGAACCAAGAAGAACATTCTTCTCTCTGGAGGATAAACAGATAATAGGGCTGTTATCAAGAAATAATTGGGGGCCAGCCCCGTGGCGCACTCAGGAGAGTGCGGCTCTGGGAGCGCAGCGACGCTCCCGCCACGGGTTCGTATCCTATATAGGAATGGCCGGTGCGCTCGGTGCGGGCGACACCACACCAAGGGTTGCAATCCCCTTACCGGTCACGAAAAAGACAAAAAAAAAAAAAAAAGAAAGAAATAGTTGGAACATTCTTTCTGTTCAGAAATATAAGAACAGCATGTAGACAGGATGGGCTGATGAGGTTTGTCAATACAAGTGTTGAGTTTGAGGCATCTGTGCCTTTCGGACAGGCAAGGCAGTTGGAGATAAGAGTTTGGGACGTGTTAGACTATAGGCTGAGCTGCTATAACAGAGACTCAAAAACAGTGATTTAAACAAAGTAGTTTATTTCTCATGTGACAGTTCAGAGGTAGGTGAGTGGTCCAGGCTTGTGTTTAGATAACAACTGTTTCACAAGATCATCTGGGGATCCCAGGCCCTGCTGTCAAGTGTGGCTCCACCGTCCCCTTTATTGTTGTCATCTGATAACCAGCCCGCCTTATTCAAGCCCACAGGAAGGGGAAGAGGGAGAGGAAGCAGAGGGGCAGGAAACTACACTGATCCCATTGGCCAGAACATAGTCTTCATATTCTTACCATCCTGGAGGGGAGACTAAAAGCCCTGTAGGTAGATAACTGTGTTCATTTAAACTTGGGGCATGTCATTACTAAAAGAAAGAAGCAGAGGGAGGGGCACAATTAGTCTTCCCACAGAAGGGAAAGCACAGAGATTAAGATTTTAAAGTGACTGACTTACAAATGGTTGTTCAAAATATGGAAGTGGTTAACATCAGAGCCAGCATTATTGACTATTTACATGCTTTACATGCCATATCCCATTTAATTTTCTTTTTTTTTTTAAAAAAAAAAAGATGACCGGTAAGGGGATCTTAACTCTTGACTTGGTGTTGTCAGCACCACGCTCAGCCAGTGAGCAAACCGGCCATCTCTATATGGGATCCGAACCCCAGGCCTTGGTGTTATCAGCACCACACTCTACCGAGTGAGCCACGGGCCGGCCCCCATTTAATTTTCTTTAGAGTAACCCTATCATTTCTATTTTATAGATCGAGAAACTGAGGCCCAATGAGCTTAAGTGATTTGCCTGAGATCACACAACTATGAAGTAAGGGAGTTAGACGCTCACCAAGGCATCCTGGCTGTGATTCTGGCTCTGAACATTATACTTAGTGCTACTTATATTTCTTTCTTTCTTTTTTTTTTAAAGATGACCAGTAAGGGGATCTTAACCCTTGACTTGGTGTTGGCAGCACCACGCTCACCCACTGAGCTAACCAGCCATCCCTATATAGGGATCCAAACCCGTGGCCTTGGTGTCATCAGCACCCCACTCTCCCAAGTGAGCCACGGGCCGACCTTAGTGCTACTTAAATTTCTGAAGTGGGCAGCATAGAGGAGGTGAGGGCTGAGGACTGAATTCTCAATATGTGGGTGGTTGGTAGAGGGGAAGCCTGAGGGTGGAGTGGTCCGAGAGGTAGTGGAACCAGGGAGAAGAGGTGATGGAAAGGCGAAAGAGCTTGTATATCTCTGCTAGGCTGCCTTGTACCAAATTTGGCCAGTTTAGCATTCCTTGGCAGAAGGCAGAGCCATTGCGTTGCCCAATTCCAGGGGGGTGCCTTTCATTTTCCAGTCTACAAATAGTGACCTTTGCATAGTGTCTTCAAAGCCTTTTCTGTCCGGGGCTAGATGGTAAATATTAAGCTTTGTAGGCCACATATGGACTGTCACATATTTCTTTTCTTTCTAAAAACTCTTTAAAAGTGTAAAATTCATTCTTGGCTAACTGATTGTACAAAAACAATTCACAGTTTAGATTTGGCCCATAGGCCATAATTTGCTGAACGCTGCCCTAATTACAAGTGGTAGGTATCCCCTGAAATTGTATAACATGGCAATACTGACAGGCCTAGAACACATTGTACAAGAAGATTTTGCCTCAGCTGTGGTCTTTTGGGAGGAAGCAAAAGAGATGGCCTCTCCCAATTCACACCCTTCGTTTTTGTGAAAAGTTTACATACAGAAGTTTTTCTCATGAAACATCAGCATGTTCTGAGAAAGTAACAGTTTTTGTAAACAAAATTCAGATTCACACATTTTTTTTCAAAAAAACTTCAAACTGTGAATTTGAGCACATCTTAGAAGAGATGCAGCAGTTTTTGTAAAAACAAGCTCAGATGCACATTCTTAAAAGTGTCTGAGTTTAAGCAAATTTAGTTGAAAAAAGAATAGTGCTTTGAAAATGATCTCTGAAAAGTAACCTCCCAGCAGGAGTTTAAGCAATTGTAGCTGAAACCCAATAATTACTGTGCAAATGACCTCAAATTCAAGAGTTCTTAAAATTAACTTTCTCAAGATGAGTTTGTAGAAATCTAGCTGAAACAGCAGCCTTTTGAGAAAATGATACCAGTTTCAAGAATTCTCAAAATACAGCCGGCCCGGTGGCGCACTGGATAGTGCGCCGCTTGGGAAGCGCGGCGGCGCTCCCGCCCGAGGGTTCGGATCCCACATACAGACCGGTTTCCGCTCACTGGCTGAGCGAGGTGCGGGAGCAACACCGAGGGTTGCAATCCCGTTGCCGGTCCCCGGTCCTGTACGGGGGCAACACTGAGGGTTGCGATCCGTTGCCGGACATGGAAAAAAGACAAAAAAAAAAAAAAAAAAAAAAAAGAATTCTCAAAATAAGAAAAGCAGCACACTGAAGTTGCTACTGTAAGAGGGCCATTTCCAAATCAGGTGAATTTATCTGTTTTGTTGCCCTTCCAGGACTCAAAGTTCAGAAGTCAAAGTCTAGGGTTTGAAAGTCAAAGTCTAAGAATCTCCAAAGGGAGATTCTTCCTATACAAAGCCAGAGCCAGAAGGAGACTCAACCAGTCCTGCCCCAGAGGACTACAAGAATATTTGCCTTAATATTGAGAAAAGGGAGGGGGATGAGGAGGGCGGATAATTGCCTGTCTTGGAGGTATTACAGCTATGAAAAGGTCATTAGGCAGATTTACAGCCTAAATTCCTAACACCTATGTGATCTAAAAACCTTCAAGTTGTGAATGTAGTTTAAAGTGGTTAGGATTAGTAATGCCTAGGAACTTTATCATAGCAAACACAAATCCTTTTTGATGGAATGCACCCCTGTAATAGGATAAATACTTACGATTAATTTTCCAAAGAAAATTAAAGTCACAATAAAAATAACTAGTACAGGAAACAATTCTCAAGAGATAATATGTTAGATACAATAGAAGAAAGAATTAGAAGACTGGAAGCTATGGTGAAAAAATTATTCAGAAAGCAGTACAGGGATTTTTAAAAATTGTAAATATGAAAGAGAGGTTAGGAGAAATAGAAAACAGTAAAGAGGTCTAACAGAAATCTAATCACAATTTTATTATAAGAATAGAGAGACTGGGGCTAAGATAATATTTAAAGAAATAATAAGGTCAAGGGTTTGGATCCAGCCAGCTGCCACCAATAAAAGATTGTCATAAAAATGTTCAGACAAATTGTGAAAATAAAGCTCAGATTCATCAATTTGCAAAACTAACTTCCCACCATGAATTCGAGCAAAGGTAGCTGAGATACAGCTGTTTTTTGTGAAAACAGGCTCAAATTCATAGATTCGCAAATGTAACTTCCCAACATCAGTTTGAGCAAATTTAGAAGACAGCAGCATCGCTTTTGTGAAAATAATCACAGCTTCATGAGTTCTCAAAAGTTACTTCCCAGCTTGTGGTGCTCACCAAGATTTAAGCCCACTACAGCCTATCTTTCCCACTGGTTATAACTAAAAATTAGAAAAATTACAAAAAGCTACCTGAGAACTGAGAAATAAAAGCAGATAGATTGGGGGCTGGCATACACTTGGTTAGAGTGTGGTCCTGATGAACAGGTTGGGGAGGAGAGTCAAAACTTGAAGAAGCAACCCATACAGGAGTGCTTTTCCTGGTATTTTTCCTTTTTCGTGGTGTTTACGTCTGAGGTTGGGCTGCAAAAAACCCAAAAGAAAACCCATCTTGGATGTGGCCATAGGAAAAAGGATCCTGTGAGTTGGAGAACATGGTAGAAGATTCTTTTTCCTTCCCCTGCCCCCAGCTTTCCCCTGAGGGCAGGGAATAGTTGCAAGGCTACAGCAGGTGGCTCTAGTAACTAAAACTCTAGGCAGAGGAACCAGGAAAGGGGACACTGGTTTGAAGTGGGGTAATCACCAGTTTATTTTTTTCTTCCTGGGCTGGCCTGAGGGTGGGCT